TAGTATCAATTTAATGTACTTCTCACTTCGTACATGAAAATTCTAAAATATATAGATTAGGTAACTTGGCCACAGTTCTAGGAAGTGCCAGATTTAGACCTGATCTGAGGTAGCCTATACATGGCCATGCAGTAAATATTTTTTGAGGCTCACACAGTGTCACTCACAAATATTTGCATCTGCCTTCATAGTGTAAATGCAGCCACAGGCAAAATTGGAGCAAGTAAACTTCGCTGTATCATAGTAAAACTTTATTTATGAAACAAGTAGTGGGGCTTACCTTGGCCCCAAAACCAAAGTTTTCTAATCCGTGCTCTTCTAAGTTTGGTGGTGGGGTTAGTGTATGGTGGAGTAAACCTTCAATCCCAGCACTTAGCAGGCAGATGCAAGGCCGATCTCTATGTGTCTGAGGCCAGCCTGGTCCAAGTAAACTTCAGGCAAGCCAGAGCTCACAGCAAAACTCTGTCTCAAACATACAAAAAGGGTGGTGTTTTGTTTGCTTGTTTGTTTTCAATTTGTGTTCCTGAATGTAGTGAGTGCATCATGTGAGAACAGTGCCCATGGATTGATTACAGGAGTCAGCACTGGCTCCATGGAACTGAAATTACAGATGGTTATGAGTTGCCTCATGTAGGTACTAGAAACTGAATCCTGGTCCTCTGTAAGAACAGCAAGTGCTCTTAATCACAATATCTCCAGTGCCCCAGCTCAAGTTCTTAACTACCACATCAAGAAAATGAATCCCTATCATCACCAAATCTCCCCAGAAAGTAAAATAACGATAAAATATTAGACAACTCCTTAGCCATTGTAACATGAGAAACTATACAGTTCATCCTGGTATAGTATCTATTTAAACACATTCTATATTAGGACCATCCAAAGGTCTTAGGCTGCATCCATCCATGAAATTGACAGAAAACCTCCCTTTGATGTGAGTTTAGCATCCAGCAGTTTTAGGAAAGGGAATCCCATACTCAGCATTGCATTTGATGGATTATACAATATGCTAAATGGTAGTGAGTACCAGGGGAAAATGGAAGAATGGTAAGAGGAATGAGTGTAGGAGCACAAAATAGATGCACACGATGGTGAGAGATGGAAAAACAAGCATTGTCTCAGAGGCCTAGAAGAGGCAATGGAGGAACCATACTAAGGCATTGGCACAGAGCTATCTGGACAGGGAGGTAAGTGAGAGCAAAGGTGGAGCATCCCTGGCTTAGGTCCTTGCTGATGGCTCTTACTGTTCTTGGTGAGGAAAGGAGGGGCTAATGGTTTATAGGAGCCTCACTTTATAGGGTCGTATAATCATAGTGAGGATCAGAAAAACAATAAGGGTTGATTCTGGTAGTAAAAGGATTACTCTGATACTGCTTGATGTCAACAGCTTTAGGTTCAGGTTTCTTGGTTTCCATTTTTGCTTTATTACATATCAGTAAATGGAATGAACCTTTCCGCGTCTGATTCCATCTTCCTAAAACAGATGGAAGTAGTAGCCACACAAGCCGAGAATATGAACTGAAAAATGTCAGCAAACCATTAGCCTAACTCCAGGGGCCCCTGGGCTGTGCTCACATGCTCAGAAAGTGAATACACTGTTACTACTGAATGTCTATCCACCCAAAGGTAGTGCCATTCTCACAAAGGTAGTGATGAGTCACCTGGGAGACATTGCCCCTTTTCCAAATCTGACACAATCTAGAACATATGACGACCATAAATAATTGAGGTGTCTGCTGAGAAGGGGAGAAACCCACTGACTATTGTGGAGAATGAAAAGGCAACAGTCACAAACTTCCAGTCATCATGACAAGGTGTATTAGTTATCAATTATACTTAACAAATGAGCCCCAGAACTAAAGCAAGAAACATGTGAATATAGAATCAGATGGTTCCTTCACCAGGCTCTCATGAGGTTGCAGACCAGGTATCAGCTGTGCTGATTTCAGATTCACCAACATCCATACCCAGGCCAGGACAAGGCCTTGCCATTCCCATGTGTGCAAGGTTTTGGGTCCTTGACAAGGCTATATTTATGTCAACAATATACCTTCACTCAGGACATCATCTCTCCAGAGTGCAGACCTCTCTGTGAGGTCGCTTGAGAGTGTATTTGTCATGTGGTAACTGACTTTCCCCCAGGTGAATAATCCAAGAAGAAGCCAGGAGGAAGCTGCAGTGCCTCTTATGCCCTGGTTTCAGAAGTTGCACACTGTCATTTCCTGCTACAGAACATATTTACTGGAATCAGGCCACCAGGTTTAACCTACTCTCAAGTGAAGGCAAATGAAGTATCATCTCATGTAGGATTGTTTTCTTTGTTCATTTTAGTTGGCATACAAAATAATATCTTTCCATGTGGCATTTTCAGGCTTGTATGTCATTCTACTTTTCTCATGCCCACTTTCTTATATTGCCCCTCAACCTATGACATTCCCGAGAATCCATGGACAATGTTTAAATCTACCCAATCCACTTTTTTGTTGCCTTAATTTCTATGGAAAAGAGGGCTATTTAACTCAACTACGAACCCTAGAAAGTCAAGCCCTGCATTTGCATCTGGTGAAACCCCCCCTTGCTCATGAAGAGCCTTCAGGAACCCAAGAAGGTAGGTGAGGGCACTGCCAAGTGAAGGAGGCATACACAAGAAAGAGGGCCAAGCTGGCTTGTATACAGATCCACCCTAGATAATCCGACAATTCATGAACCTGTAATCCTTAAGTAGAATAACTCATTCCCTGCCCTCAAGACTTAATAACTTCTCAAAGGTCCCAACTATTCCCACTTCTTGATACTCACAATGAGGACTAAATTTCTTCATGTGCATTCATTAGTTATGTAAAGTAATATGTTTCATCATGGCATTTCCATACATGATATAATATGCTTTGGTCATAATCATTCTTTGTATAACCCTTTATGATCTCTTCTCCCTCTTTTCTGATTCCAAATCTCTAATAACCCCTCTTTTGCCTTCTTGTTCTTTTCTTCTAGCTAGATTCCACAAATGAGCAAAATCATGCATAACTTGTCTTTATACAATTGGCTGTTCCATTTGGCATGATGATCCCCAGTTCCATTTTTTTTTCCTGAAGTAACACAATTTTATTATTGTTTATGGTAGAAAAAGACTCCATATTATATCCAAACTATATTTTCTTTACCTATTCATTCAATGATGAGTACCTAGGCTGATTCTTTAGCTTGGATATTGTGAGTGGTGTAGAGATGAACACCAACCGCCATATGTCTCAATGGAGATACTGAACCATAGGCATACATTGGAACCTAATCCATAGTAATCAACAACTCAAACCAAGAGATATGTTCTAGAGAGAATTAATGGTTAGTGAAGTTTGTTTCATGTTGTGCCAGAAGATGCTCCAAACCCCATACTGACATCATTTCTTTTCACATGTGGAGACTTGGTTAACAATGGCTGTGCCTCCTTCCATTCTTTCATCCTAGTGTGGATCCTTACATCAGCAGTTTCACAGCAACATCCCTGGCAGAAACATCCCTGCTTATACACCCTGCAAGCTTGCCATATCCCTACAGGTCACACATAGGCATTATTCTGTCTCAGGGCCTCATGATACTGTTCACTGGACACTTGGACTCAATTCACTCGAGCAAGGAGTCAGGATAGATAGTATTCTGGGTTTTTTTTTTCATTTTTAGCTTTTTGTTTTTGAGAATTTCATACATGGGTATTATATTTACATCATATCTATCTACTCCTCCTGCTCCTCCCTGTAACTGGTCCCATATACCTTCTAGTCTCTTTCAAATTCAAGATTGTTTCTTCTATAATTATTATTGTTTTACACACACACACACACACACACACACAAAACACATACACAAGATACTTAGTCTGTTTAGTGTTGTTTGTAGGTACATGCATTTAGAGCTGATCGTTTGGGACCGAATAACCTATTAGGGAGCTAATCCATTAAAAAAAAAAAAACTAAATTCTCCATCTCTCAACAGGCATGAAGGCATAACTGCCTATATACTTCATCCACAATTACATGTCTTATAGTCATTATGCAGGTTTTGTTTAGGCAACTACATTCATAAAGATTTCTTGGGTGCAGTATCCCTGTCATGTCTAGAGGACACTATCTTGAAACAGATGTCCTGGTTATCTGGCTTTTTTAGGTGAAACAATATTGTCTTCTCTGACAGATAAGAACAAATCTTGCTTATAACTCTACTTGGCTATAAGCTGTTGCTTCCTAGAATTCTTTTTTGTTTTTAGATAATATAGTATAATTCAACTTAGTCAACTAATAATTCATCTGATGACTTTGCATAAGACAGCTTCTACATAAAATTTACTTTTCTGAGAGATGCTTGTCACAATGACAATTAATAGTTATCAGCAGTATTCAAAACTTCTAACTTATTTTGATCTTTAGCTCTAATTCTGTCACAATTCATAGAGGTATTAAAACATTAATTATTGTATAAATACCATTATTTTACTAACCAAATATTTAAGATAAAGTATAGAATCATAGAAATTTATCATTACATAGTGTTCAATAACAAAGTCAAGCAAGTAAATTAACCCAGTTATAGAAGGACCATGGATAAGTAAATGAGTGAATGATGATTCAGCTATACATAAAATACTATATAGCTATTCAGATTTATAATGGCATTACCATATTTGGTGTAGAAAGTTATTCTACTATGTTCCTACTTGAAAATGGAGGATGAAAAAGTATAGTTTCTATGGCATTGTCATATGGAAAGCTACCTGTGGTTAAATGTGTACAAAGGAAAAGGTGTTGACATTTGTTTCTCGTTAATGTATCCAAAGAGGAGTAATCATGCATCTTTTTTTCTTTTTTGCTTGTCTGGACTTTCTGGTTTTTCTACAACTGTTGCCTAAACATTCCTAAGCAGATCTCCGCCTCCTCTGACAGCTCCATAGGTCTGGCAAAGGCAGGAAGGAGGGACTGGAGGAAGGAAGGGAGAAAGGGAGAGAAGAAAGGAGGTAGCCCTGGCTTCCTGGATCTACTACCTGAAGCCGCTGTTCGTGAAGAGCTGGGAAGCCCAGAGGAAATCCTTTGGAATCCTAGAAAGAAGACTGTCTCATTGAGGGAGAAGGTACAGTAGCAGGTGCCTTGGGAGTTTGAGATGGTGTGAAATCATTCTGGGAAACCCTGCTCCTCCCTACTGAGTTTCAGGGCTCCTCCCTGGATCATTAGTGCACTTCGTGTACTTAAAGGACCAGGGCATGTTGGAGGAGCAAACCACAGACTCCTGGCTGGAGGAAGGAGAGATCTGAGGGGTCCTGTTTGGGCTCTTTCTTGACTTCCACATTGGGAATCTTCTGCTGTGTACAGGTTGCTCACATCTGACAAGCTTTGCAGCCTGTACTCTACTCAGGCCTCTGCCTTCCCAGCCTGATCTTTACCTAAAATTTCTGGCTGTTTCTTTCAAAATAGGGTCTACATACTGTGGTGTTCATGATGGTCCTGAGTGGGGCACTGTGCTTCCGGTGAGTATTTGGTCATCTGACTTGGTGGAGGTCTCCGAAAAGTGAGTTCCGGGTAGAAAACAAGGATCCTTCTCCCAGATGGGCTCTCACCCGTAGCTGGGAAAGATGGCACTAATACTGCCCTTGAAGCTCTTCTGGCCTTCTTAAGCCTAGGGAAGGAATGAGCAGGGTTCTCACAGGGCCCTAATTCTGAGTGTGTAGGATGGGGGATGGGACTAGTAACTAAGCAGTCTAGAGCTGCAGCCTGTCATCGCTGGTAGGAGAGTCCAGTGTCCCTTATAGAGATCCACTATTGCCTCCCATGACCATGAATTGCCATCAGCCCTGCCACTGTATTAATTCCTCCATGATCCTTTCAGCTTGCCCATCTGTGGCTCCCTGGTAGGCACTCAGTCAGGCACCCTATTACATACAAATTTTACAGAGGCAGATGAGAATGATCTTACTCTCACTGAACCTCATTTTATGACTTGTCAGCCCTCTATCTGTGGTTTCTCAAAGTATGTTCTCTGAGGCTTAGGCCCAGGAGATAGTTCATGCAATAGTGTTCTCTGACCGAGTGGAAATGTAGAATGCTGCTTCCTCTTCATGTTCGGGGCTGGGGAGATGGCTCAGTGAATAAAGTTCATGTTGGGAAAATGTAACTTCCAGAATTCATGTCCCCAGAATCTGCATAAAAGCCTGATAGCTATCTGAAGGCAGCTCCTAATCTCAGCATCTGGGATGGAAAGACAGGATATCCTTGGGGCAAGCTGGCTAGACTAGTCAAATTGGCAAGCTCCAGGTTCAGCAAGAGACCCTGCCTCAGTAACAAAGTGGTACAAGATTAAGAAAGGCACCCAAGATGGAGTTGTGACCCCTGTGTACATGCTCAAACTTGTGGACATGCACACACCACACACACATACTCATGCAAAGAAAGAAATGTTTGGCCAGACATCAGAACAATTTTTACACTGCAAAGTTTTCCCCATATAACATCAGCAGAGGTCTACTTAAGTCTACTTAAGGTCTACTTAAGCATATTTCACCTTGCAGAATGTCAAAAAAATAGGTTAAAAGTAATTTTGAAAAGTAAAATAGGACTTTAAAGAAAGTTCTAAGGATAGAATATATGACTCAGTGGGAACAAATGAGCTTTGAAATATTCAGCAAGAGTGGAAGGAGCTGAAGGTAGAGTCAGGCAGAACTATGAGATCGAGGCCAGCCTGGTCTACATAGTGAGTTCCAGACCAGTCAGGGCTACACAGTGAGGTCCTGCCTTAAACAGCAAAACAAAACAGGAAGCAGCAGTGTTTAATTAGAAAGAGTTCTGGATATTATTTAACCCAATGTCATGATTTAGCAATGAAGAAAGTCATACTCTTCTTCAAACCTTCCCATGCAGAGTTAGCTCAGGTACAACCCTCTTCTGCTCACAGAGATCTCACGGGGCTAAAAGTTTCCAAACAACTTGAGGTTCATCAATACAGGTTTCATAAAAGAAGAGTATGTGTCAAGGACATCAGAGAAGGTTGGAGAAGTGGTCTCCTGGCTTTGAATAACTCAGGACTCCAACTCATAGATTCTCCCAACTGAACAGAGAAGGAATTTTCTGAGATAGATAAAGTTTAATCTAGGGGGAGAACAGACCTCAGACACAGATGGGTGGCAGAAGGGTCATAGAAGTGAAAGTTGGTAGCTGTGTCTGGCTCAGTGGAACTAGTAAAGAACAAAATACCCGAGTTTTGGGGGATCTTATGGGCCACGGCAAGATAGGGTGTGCATTCCTACCCTTACAGAGTCTTATCCCTTCCTGGTGTTTCAGAATGAAAGATTCAGCCTTGAAGGTACTTTATCTGCACAATAACCAGCTGCTGGCTGGAGGGCTGCATGCTGGGAAGGTCATTAAAGGTTGGTATCTATGAGTTCTGGGCCTCTGTATTCTCTGGAGGTATGTGTTTAGAAACCTTTAAATGGCTCTATAAACCAGTGGCAGACCTGCAGACCCAAGAACCATGTCAGATAGGGCACTATAAAACAGGTTTCAAGCAAGGAGGGAGCCCAGGGAAACCTCTGTGTACAGGTGGAATATTTTCCATGGCAAATGACTTATGTTTCCATCAAAGACTATTTTGTGTATTCTATCTCCTCAGGAGACAGTACTGTGCAAAAGGCTAAAATAGATCTTCATTCCCAAGCGGGTGGGCTCTGCTCCTCCATCCTGCTCTCTAGAGATCCTTGGTTATCCTCAATGCTGAGATCTGGATAGTGGGAGCCCCTCTGGCCTCTTGCTTACTCATTGTGCCCTCATGCTTTGACAGGTCTTTCCACATTGGTGCATACATGTTTACTCAGGCACCCTTATGGGGTACTAGATCCATAAAGACCCTTTTGCTGCATTGTGTGTACATGTGTGCATATGAGAACACAACATGAGGGTATAGCTATATGTGAATGCATAAGCTCAAATTGTGTGTGTGTGTGTGTGTGTGTGTGTGTGTGTATATAGTTTAAGTATGTATGTGTATACCATATGTACATAAGCATTTTCTCTATGTATGCCTATGGATATATATATGTTTTGATTATGTATAATATGTATGGGGTACATACATATGGTGATTACATCTATGTACATATGCATGTGTTGATTTAACGTGTGTGCGTATATACACATGGGGTGATGGGTGATGTACAGAGAAGAGTGAAATCCTCTTCTGCCGAAATCCCACAGGGGCTAAAGGCAGGACACAACTCTTAACAGGATAAGACAAGGTCCAGAAAAGAAGCCAGGAGTCGAGGGAGTGGTAGGAGGGATGATCTCTTGGAATTTAGAGAATCTCTCAGTTTGGCCCTGATCAAGAGGGATGGAATAGGAAGTTGTACTGGTATTCCTGTGCCTTTGGTTTGTGGTCTGGGCCAGGTGACAGGAGACTATCCTTATCCATGTGTTGGAGAGCAAGATGCCTCACACTGGTCCTAATCCCTTTAAGGCCTTTTTGGTTGAGAGTGGACAAAAGGACAAACAAGTTCCTGCATCTTGTCTTTTTCCTCTAGGTGAGGAGATCAGCGTTGTCCCAAATCGAACATTGGATGCCAGTCTGTCTCCTGTCATCCTGGGTGTTCAGGGAGGAAACCAGTGCCTGTCCTGTGGGACAGAGAAGGAGCCAGTTCTGAAACTTGAGGTGAGTCTTACTGCAGCCTCTTTGCCTCCTGGACCTGAACCAGGAATGGCGAGCATACTCTGACACTACTGCTAGGTAGCCTTTGGACGCTGGCAAAGGCACTATTGAACAAGTGCTGTGTCCTCTCTGAGGACCTTTCCCTTGCCTAGCTTTGCCAACTCACTTGCCCACTCCTGTGTCTCATCCATCATGCCCTTTCTACAGCCAGTGAACATTATGGAGCTCTACCTCGGGACCAAGGAATCTAAGAGCTTCACCTTCTACCGGCGAGATATGGGCCTCACCTCCAGCTTCGAGTCAGCTGCCTACCCAGGCTGGTTCCTCTGCACTGTGCCTGAAGCAGACCAGCCTGTCAGGCTCACCCAGATCCCTGAGGATGCTGCCTGGGATGCTCCCATCACGGACTTCTACTTTCAGCAGTGTGACTAGGGAGGACTGCATGGTCCCCCAAATTCCCTAAGCAGAGGCAGAGTAGGCAATGTGGGTGGGGGTTGTAGTGATGGAGGGTGACTTACTCCTCTCCCTCTCATCAGGACTCTCACTACTTATTTAGGAGTCACACAGCCATTCTCTTCTCCGGGTTCCCAGTAAATTCTTCGGCTATCCAGAGCTCAGTGTGTAGACTCCTTTCTTCCACACTGGATGGTACTACCTCTGGTGTGGAACCTAGTACAAACCACATAGGACAAACAAAGAACAATACAAAAGATTCTTGTGTGAGAGAGTGGTGAGATTTTTATCAGAACCCTTGTGATTCCCTACCAGGCAGGAGAAGGAGGTGTCATCAAGATCTTTGCCTGGCTAAGTCCCTTCCCTCAATCCTGCTGCTGTGTCTTTCATCCCTGCCATCATTCTCTGGCCCTGAACTGAGAGGCTGATGTTAGGATAGAGGACAGAAGATGGCCGGTCACACTGTCCTGGTTTGAAAGCAGAGATACAAGAAAAATCCCTGATTCTGGTCCCTACTCACACAGAAAGACTCTCAAGAACTTTGGGTGGGAAGAGCTTGCTACAAAGTAACATATCTTGTATTTTCATCTTAATTAAAATATTCTTATATATTACATATTTAAAAAGGTGTCTGAAAGTGTTTACATCAATTGTAGCAATATCCAGGTGGGAACAGTATAAGTGACTTTTTATGTGTGCTTATTAACTTTTCCATTATGGAGATGTATTATTGGCATAATAATAGGAAAAGGAATCTATATGGAGGGAACTGGAGCATACATAACTTCTGATTTTCTTCCCCCCGCTGCTACCCTGAAGTGAAATCCAACTGAACTCAGCTGCTCTGAGTGGGAGGAGCAGAGAGCAAGAGGCAAATCCCAAAAAAGCTAGGAAGAATGTGAAGAGTTTATGCTGGGAAAGAAAAGGAGTGGAGGGGGAAGGAAGGGAGGGAAGGGAAGGGAAGGAGAAGGAGAAGGGAGGGGAGAGGAAGGCAAAGGAAGGGAAGGCAAGGGAAGGGAAGGCAAGGGAAGGGAAGGGAAGGCAAGGGAAGGCAAGGGAAGGCAAGGGAAGGGAAGGGAAGGCAAGGGAAGGCAAAGGAAGGCAAGGCAAGGGAAGGGAAGGCAAGGGAAGGCAAGGCAAGGGAAGGGAAGGCAAGGCAAGGGAAGGGAAGGCAAGGGAAGGGAAGGGAAGGCAAGGGGGAAAGCTATCCTGGGCTTGACCTTGGGTGGTTGCAACCCCGGGATTCTGAGTGACAACCAGCTTCTGAGGAGGCCACTGTGCTGGTTAGAAAGTTCCCTCCTTAAATTTATGTTTTTCCCAAATCTACAATGATCTCACAATGGCAGGGTCTTTGCAGTTAAAGTGCTGGACCAAATCTCATTTGATTGGGATCTTTCAAACATGAGGACTTGACACAGGAGAGGCACAGGGGACAGGCCCATGTGACACAAAGGCAAAAGTTGAAATTATGTTGCTGCCGCCAACCAAAGAAGGACTGGACTGTGTGGACCACAAGAAGCAAGGAAGATGGGAGAAGGGTTCCCTTCCTACAGCCTCAGTGGGACTTGCTGATGCCTTAATTTCAGACTTCTGGCCCCCTGCATTGTCACAGAATACATTTGAGATGTTTTAAGTTACTAAGTGTGTGGTAATTGGCTCTAGCTGGAGGGAATGAATGGAGCTGCCAGTGATCCCTGCTTCCTCGTGTCCATTCCCTCTAACACTACCAAAGTTATCTCTGGACTCTGGAACACAGCAGAAGTGATAGCGGCTACTGCAGAGGGTGGATTATAAAAGACACCTTAGTGGCTTCTTTGGGGACTTGGTCTTTCTCTGTACCCTGACAGAGGCCTTATTCTGTGCTATAAGATGCCCTATAGAGAGGTCATGTGGGAAAAACTAGTCTCCCATGGACAAAAGCTGCACTCGTGAGCTCAAAAGCAGGGCTTGCCCAGAAACCATTGTGACCCAACTGCTGGCTTGATTACAGTCTCATGAGAAACTGAAGCATGGCTGCCCAACCAAGCTCCTCCAGATTCTTGTGTCATAGAAAGGCTGTGAGCTAACCAATGCTGTTTCTAGATTCTAGAGTAAGCTGATAAGCTGCAGTAATACTCAATGAAAGAGAAACACATGCATATACTTTACTGTGTTCAAAACTTCCTCCAGTATTTTCGTTTTCCTTCTCAAAATGAATGCCAGCCCTTTATTAACCCAAATAGCCTATTTAAAAGCTGATCATGTTTCACTTGTTAACTGTCAAGCTGTTGCCATAAGGTTTGATTCATTCTCTGGCCATTTCTGCACTTCCTGCCTACATGCCAGTCTCCGTCTCTAATATTCCTACCTAAAACACTGAGGACTAAGACTGAAAGCAAAAGAGGAGGTCCATATCTGAGCCCCAGATACTCGGCTGTAACTCGCTTGACAGGTTTAGAGTCGGCAGGTTAGTAGAAGGACCAGCAAAGAGGTAGCCAGGATAGAAGAGGCAACCTCCACTTGTCCTAGAATCTTCAGTCCAGATGTACCTAAGGTTTCCCAAGCAACAGGCAGCACCATTTCTACCACAGGCCTCTCAGGGATGCTGAGGACATGGACCTCAGGTACCAAGCTGTATTTCTGTATCCCCCATTTACAGTATCTGTGAGTCAGAGAAGTGTCACGGTGTGTTTTCCATATAGGGACATTGTACCCATCCTATTTGCCAACAGAAGTCACTCACTTTTTAATACCCTGCTAAGATATCACGTCCTGTAAGAAGATATGAAGAGATGAGCTTCCTGGTCATTTGCGGTGATGATACTCGGTGCTTATCTCCCCATAAAAAGTTGACTCATGGTCTGTGGAACATAGATGACATTAAGACTGGAGCTGCATTAATATTTTTTGAGCACTTTGATTAATATTTGGCAAACTTTTGGAACATAGTGAGTACAGAATGTGGAAACTCACAATTCTGAAACATCCTCTCACTTTCCTCTACCCATCTACACTATTATAGAAGAGTAGTTCAAATCCCATTCTCAAAGGTCATTCTCAAAGGTCAGAGTGGTTGCTTCATCAGGTGGAGAATTCAAAAAGATTTTAACACTTCCAAAGCCAGGGGAAAAGAAGGAATAGAAACACATTTGTTTTGTCATTGTTCTAATAGGAACAGTAAAAGAAGGTATGTATGGCCTGAGAAAGTCTGGCATCATGTGCTTTTAGATTGCTGTAATTTTGATAGAAGCCACAGGCCCCAGCCTATATTTTCAGAGAAGAAATGCCCATGGCAAGTGGGGCTTATGTCAATTGCAGATATTGAAGAGTTGAGATAGTTCAAGATCAGGGAATAGGGAGAAGTAAAGGAGCTGATGGCATTTATCCTGAAAAAGCAAAACCCAGCCTACCTCATGCTTAAAGCATCCAAAGGTCTATAGGCAGAAGGATACACTTGCTTTTTATAATTCCAGAAAGAAAAACAGGACCACTGAGTACAAATTATTGAAGGACATTTTTGCTTGAATGATTCCCCACCCCAGTCTTAACCTTAAAGATCATGAACACCTGTGTTTCTCCCAGGGGCTATATAGCCCCTGACCTTGGAGTAACTGAGGAAAAACCTGACCAACTATTTCTCAAGATGCCACATCATTTGGCCACTTGGAGGAAGATTCTGATGTCATGTCTAAAGGATTTTCTCTAATGCTATTGTCTCCCACATGCCCTTGGCTTACAGCTGAGTATGATTTTTGTGGCTTAGCTCCCCAGATAAACTGTAAAGTTTCTTAGTAACAGACACAGTACGTTATGTGTCTTTGACACAGCAGTGTAAGTACTGGGTATGCATTACTGATTGCCAGACATGACCCTTCATGCTTTCAACAGGGTGGTGCAAACTTATAAAGAACAATAAAGAATAAAAATTAGCAATAAAAGCAAAGAATGGGTAACCCAAACCAAGCTCTGAAATCATTTTCAGGGGGTGAGGACTCTTTAAAAATGTTAAGTTTATTTATTTATTTATTTTACATCCAGGCCATAGTTTTCCCTCTCTCCTACCTCCCATCCCTTTTGTTCCCAGCCCCCCCACAATCCATTCCTCTTCCATTTATGTTCAGGAAAGGGCAGGTCTCCCATGGATATCAATAATACATTTCATATCAAATTTCAATAAAACTAAGCAGCTCTCCATGTATTAAAGCTGAGCAAGATGACCTAGTATGAGGAATGGGGTCCCAAAAAGCCACAAAGGAGTCAGAAACAGCCCCTGTTCCCACTATTAGAAATCTCACAAGAGGACTATGCTACACAACTGTAGCACATAGGCAGTGTGCCTACACCAGTCCCATGTAGGCTCCCTGACTTGAGCAGTCACCAATCTATAAGTATAGAAGAATATTGTTAGGCATCATTACATTGACATTATAGTTTTCCTTCACTCATGTTTGGTTCTGTCCTAGGTCTCTGGGTCATTCAGCCTCTAGTTCGGGTGCTCCAGGCAGTGTCTGGGGTAGGCTTACTCTCCTGGCATGGATTTTAGGGTAGACCAGCCATTTGTTGGCCACTCCCTCAATTTCTAGGCCACCCTTATCCCAGCCATAGGCAGGACAGATTATACCTTGAAGGTTGTGTAGCTGGGCTGGTTTCCCATTCCTTCCACTTGAAGTCTTTCCTGGCCTCAGGAGATGGCCAGTTCAGGCTATGCATCTGCTACAGCTAGGAGTCTTATCTGGGGTCATTCTTGTAGATACCTGGGAGTGTTTCTTGTGCCAAGTTTTTACCTGACCCTGAAATGCCCCCTTTCTAGTAGTCTCTTTCAGTACTCTCCCCCTCTGCCCCCAAATCTGATGGTTCATGTTCCCATGCCCACCCATCTTCAGTTCACTTATGAATTCTCTTCTATTTCTTCTCATTTCCAGGGAGATCTGGGTGTTCCCCCTTGAACTTTTCTTGTTACCTAGTTGACTTTAGCATAGTTATCCTTTTATACAGATAATATACACTTATGAGTGAATACATACCATGTTTGTCTTTCTGGGTCTAGATTACCTCACTCAGGATGATTTTTTTTCTGATTCCAATCCATTTGCCTGAAAATTTCATGGCATTGCTTTAACAGCTAAGTAATACTCTGTTGTGTAAATGTGCCATACTTTCTTTATATATTCCTCTGTTGAGGGACATCTAGATTGTTTCCAGGTTCTGGCTATTACAAATAAAGCTGCTGTGAGCATGGTTGAGGAAGTGTTCTTATGGCATGATAGAACAAACTGAGAAAGAAATCAGAGAAACAGTACCCTTTACAATAGCCTCAAATAATATAAAATATCTTGGAGTAACTTTAGCAAAGCAAATGAAAGACATGCATGACAAGAACTTCGAGTCTTTGAAGAAAGAAATTGGAGAAGATATCAGAAAATGGAAAGATCTCCCATGCTCATGGATTGGTAGGATTAACAAAATAAAAATTACCATCTTACCAACAGCTGTCTACAGATTCAATGCAATCCCCATTAAAAACTTGACACAATTCTTTACCAACCTTGAAAGAACAACACTCAACTTCATATTGGGGGGGAACATGATTATTAAAACTGTCATGAACAATAAAAGAACTTCCAAAGATATCACCATCCCTGATCTCAAGCTGTACTAAAGAGCTATAGTAATAAAAGCTTCATGACATTGGCATAAAAACAGACAAGTAGACCAATGAAATCAAACTGAAGACCCAGATTTAAATCTATACACCTATGGACATCTGATTTTTGACAAAGAAGCAAAAACTATATAATAGAACAAATAAAGCATTTTCAATAAATGGTGTTGGTCTAACTGGATGTTGGTATGTGGAAGAATGCAAATAGATCTGTATCTGTCACCCTCCACAAAACTGAAGTCCGGATAGATAAAAGACCTCAACATAAATCCAGATACATTGATCATGACAGAAGAGAAAATGGGAAATAATCTTGAATGAATTGGCACAGGAGACAAATTCCTAAGCAGGGCACCAATAGCACAAACACCTAGCTCAACAATTAATAAATAAGACCTCATGAAACTGAAAAGTTTCCTTAAGGAAAAAGACATCATCCATGGGACAAAATGGCAGCCTACAGAATGAGAAAAGATCTTCATCAACCCCATATCTGACAGAGGGCTGATTTCCAAAATATATAAGAATGCAAAAAAAACTAGACATCAAAAAACAAATAAAAAAATTGGGTGCAGATCTAAGCAGAGAATTCTCAATAGAGGAATCTCAAATGGCTGAGAAACACTTGAAGTGTTCAATATCCTTAACCATTAGGGAAATACAAATCAAAATGACTCTAATATTACATCTTACACTTGTCAGAATCACTAAGATCAAAAACACAAGTGACAGCTCATGCTGGAGAGGAGGTGATGGAAGTGCAAACTTATACATACATTTGGAAATCAATAATATGGTTTCTCAGAAAACTAGGAATCTCTCTATCTCAAGACCCAGGTATACCACTCTTGAGCATACACCCAAAAGATGCTCAATCATATGCTAAACATTCTATCTCCACAGAACAGCACAGTACATAAAAATGAATAGTTGTGAGATGTAATTCAAGGAGAAAGTGAAAATTTTTAACAAGGAATAAGGATTCTGTTTCTCCAAACATGTTTAGGATTGTAGAAAACTTTAATTGGATTCTATAGAATAATGAAAACCTAGCAAAGTTCTACAGTGCCATCCATTACCTCATACAAAATATATGTCATTTAAAATGGCAACAATAGTAACAGTAACAAAAAAAGCAGAACTTGTATCTCATCCCCATACATCTTTTCTCATTTCTTATTCTGTGCTCATCTGGTCATCCTCATCAAGTCCTTTGTGGAAATTTGCAAATGACCCAAAAAAGGCAGCTAATCTCCAGAAAACATTCTGTCCAGTTCTTTACCCCTAGTAGAGGATGTATAATGGATGGACAAATGGATTGATGTACAGATGGGTGAAAGAATATATAGATGGTTGAATGGCTAGATAGTTAATTGGGCAGATGAGTGGATAGATGGTGGAATGGATGGACAGGTGGACAGAGTTACATAATCTCAACTGGAGAACTAATTCTATTGCCGTACACTGATCACACTCTCATACTTCCTGATAGTCCAGGGCACGTGGCTCCTATACAGTCTCCATAAAATCTAAGGCCAAATCTTCTACAGCTGTTTCCTTGGATTCACTGTCTCAGTAAGGTTGTATCAACTAATTAAATCTGAAAAGCAAAGGGTTCCTTCTCATTTTCCCAAACAGCCACCACACTCATGATGTAATCAGCCCCTGTTTCATTATGGCTCTCTGGATGCACCTGGTTTCCAGCAGCAGCAGTCTTTCTATTTTTGGTCCTTCAGACCTTTCCAAGTCTCAGATGAAACCCAATGGAACATCAAAGATGTTTGACCCCAGAATTGTTTATCTAGCTGCAAAACCACTAATAACACAGTCAATGACAGTAGCTACAGAGACAGAAGATCACTGTCTAGCCTCTGTCAAGGCTTTATGGGTGACTCTCTCCCCTTCCCACAAACACTCATTAATCTCCCCACCTCCTTATTATTGGTACTGTGTTGAAGATGTTATGAAATCTCTGGGCTTTTCTTCCCTGATCTGAAGCCAATTATAGATTGCTGTAGGCCTGACCCACCCTGACCAGACATTATAAACACAGTGTTGATTCCCTGAAGAAATCAGTTGGAGGTTCCAGTCATCAGAGTTCCAGACACCAGGATCTTCAGGTCAGTGGTGACAGGTCTGTCTCTCTCTCTCTCTCTCTCTCTCTCTCTCACACACACACACACACACACACACACACACTTTTATGTCAATGCCTAGGCTCTCTAGGGAGCAAGGAACAATTTTATAGAATGTTGTGTGATACTCTATAGGTCTAGGAACACTTGGTAGAATTTAAGGAAAAGTATAGATTGGGTCAAAACAAGGTTATTACATATTTAGAACCACAGAGTTTTGAAAATCATCTCACAAAAATTCAACTAGGCCAGTGGTATTCAAACAGTGTTTTGTCTGTGCCACACGGACATTCCTTGAACATATTCTGTGACTCATTTCCACAGACAGTAGGAACGCCACTAAGGTGCTAGTGTCTCCATCATCTCCTCTGAAGCAGTATCCATCATCCCTTTATCTATCATATATACAACTGTCTCCTTTTAAGAGAGAGGCAGAGACAGAGAGAGAGAGAGATCCTTGGGAAACTTAAAACAGTTTTGAAAAATAATAATCTTACTCAACATCTCATTCCTATGGGAACAGGTTGGAGGCTCAGGAACAAAAAGAATCAAGATGAAATGGAAACACAATTACTTCTGGGACTCAGCCTTGCAATCAAAGACTGATCCATGTGTTTCTGTGTTCTATCTTAAGTTCCTCTGTGTGTCAATCATGTGGTTGGAGAGAGCTTCCAACGAGCTATATCCATTACACTTCATGATCGCATGATCTAATCAGCTTTTATAAGGCAAACAATTATCTTAATGTACACTAACAAACAATATAGCAAAGTTTAATAGGATCTCAGAATAGTGTTACAATAATAAATGGGGTAATCATTAAATTTTGAGTCATGGAACCATAGTATGACCTAGAAAGAACCTTGACAACCACATAATCTGATGCCATGAACCTGAGGATTGGCCATAAGTGGACATGACCCTGTGTGTTTGAGCTCTCATTCTCAACTGTTATGTAATTGAACAGAAAAGATACTGAGCCCATGAGTACTGAAGCCATGCCCAGTGACCTTGATATGAATGATTTGAATGAAGTTGAGGGTGGCTTTTGAGCAGGGAAACTGATGGTGATGCTAAGTATGCCTGTGAAGAGGATGAGCAAGGAGTCCTGAAGAGAGAAATGAGGTACTATTGCACAAGCAAACTAGGGTAGGGCCAGATAGTGGCAGAATCTGTGGTCATTGTAGATTCTAGAACTGGGCAGCAATGTGGTCAAAGATGAACTTAAAAGATGAATTTGGTATGCTTTCCATGGGGTTAGGGTTAGGGTTAGGGTTAGGGTTAGGGTTAGGGTTAGGGTTAGGGTTAGGGTTAGGGTTGCCAAGATGGGTGAGTTCTAGAGCACCGGGATTCCAATTTGACTAGACCAACGCTGAATTTCTGTTGCCTGTTTGAGCTGACATTGACCAAGAGTTGAAGTCCTCAGCCTGGATGTGCATCTTCATGCATACACACTCACTTCAGTCCACCTTCCCGGATGCTCATACTTCCTCCACCACAACCGAAGGAGCCTCGGTGATCTGGCTCAGAGGGGACATGTCATCAAAAAGACTTGACTGCTATTAGTCTTCCTGAGCTACAGGAAGAATTCACTATTCTTTACTACTCTAAGTGTGGTCTAGGGACTAGCAGCATTATCAAGACCTGGTTAAATGTTTAGAATGCAATCTCAGACTTCACCCCAGACCTAGAGAGCAAGATTCACTATTTTAACAAGAATGCAAGACATATAAATATACATTAGAGAGTGAGAGCTAGGGAAATGACTTAGTGGGCAAAGCATTTACCATGCAAGCATGAGGCTCTGAGTTAAGATCCCCAGAACCCACACAAAGCCAGATGCAGTAGAGACATCTATAAACACAGTGGTCCTGTGCCAAAGTAGGAAGTGAATCAGGGGACTCTCTAGAAGCTATAGGCTAGCCAGCCTGGCATGCACAGCAGTAAACACAAGTATAAAAAGATAAACAGGATAAAAGACAAGGAACAATACCTGAGGTTGTCATATGACTTTCACATGTACCCCATGGCATGTGTATACCTGCACCCACACACACAAACACATTACGCACACACACACACACACACACACACACACACACACACACACACACACACAAAACCCACAGAGTGAGGACAACTGACCTGACGTATCAGTTCCTAAGCCTGGTTCATTACTTGAATCTCTTCAAGCGCTATTGAATAAGGACAGGGGAAAAAGACTGAGTGATTCAGATGTGCAGGTATGTTTTGTCACCTATAACTTTAACTAAACACTCATTATTTTTACAGAATAATGTTTACATTACAAAAGAAATCAAATCTACTATAGGAAAGCATTAGGGAATATTAACAATGACTGACAATCCTGTCGGTCACAAATGAGTGCTGTGCGAGAACCAGCAGTCCTTGTTCCCATGTGTGTATCTCTCTACAGCTATGAATTTAATTGGGATAATAATGTGCACATTATTTATAACCTACATTTTTCACTTCATATATTTGGAAACCTTATGTCATAAATATCATCACTAATGAGTATATACTTCTTATTCTCTAAATTTGCGGTTCCCTTTCAGCCAACTGCCTATTATTGGACATTGAGAGCACTTCCAACTCCCCAAACTTATAAAAATATTTAACTGAACTATTTATAACTAAACATTTGGGCTACCCATTACCTCTCCCTGGAACATGGCAACAACATGTGCAATCACAGAATACACAGAACGCTTGGAGTCTGGTCCATAACACCGGCATTTGTGCAGTCCCCCACCCTCATCAGCGTCCTGTTACCCTTCACTCTTAACAGGTCTTAAACTTTAGCCCAATTACTTTCCAAGGTGTCAGAATCATATAACCAGTAATAAAAGCCACTTGGGCTACAGCCCCATTTCTTATACTACCAGATCACGGATCTCAGTGACACCAAAGGGGTCTGCGATCCTGCCATCAAGCATCGGCCTTGTTCCCTTGCCTGCCTCCCTCAGTATCACTTTGTCCATCTCTAAGTCCCATTTCTTCCCACAACCTCCTGTTCTATCTCGTCTTCTACTTTCTCACATAGTTGCTTCTTTTTTTATCCCCCTTCCTGCTCAGCATGAAGCATGTGTGCTCTTCAGGCCCAGTCATCCCTGCATTTACTCTTGGGAGCCGCTCCCCTGCTTGGGTCTGTTCTGAGTTTCTTGTGTGCTGTTCTGGACTGGACTTTCTGGGTGACCATTTTAGGGAGGCACTCTAGGATGGGATACTCCTCCAGGAAGGAACACAGTCCTGGGGAGCTTCGTGGCTTGGGGTTTATACCAGTCACTCTCTTCATGTCAGGGTGTTCATGTTCAAAAGCATGAATCTCTGTATGTCAATCCGTTTCTGGTTTTCACCTGGAAAAAAGAGAGGCGTTTGGGCCGACTCTTCACACGTGTCAGCAGTTCCAGTTCCCAGGAATGATACTTCTTAACCTTCAACCCCTGCCTGTTCTCCCCAGCTATCATCTTCTGCCCTGTGCCAAGCCAGGGTGGGAAATGGGACTGGATCTTTCCTGAGGTTAGCCCCAGTCTGTGGAGCACCCACCTCTTGGCCTGAGAAGTGGGACAGTAGCTATTTAGGTGAACCTGCTCTCTAGATTCTGAGCACTAGCATCAGCAGACAGAGGAGTCCTGGGCTCACACCTCTGCAGGCTAAACCTGATCTAATGGCCATGAGTATGGTAGAGCTTCCTAGATCTAGGAGGGCTAGGGAAACTTGGGTGGTTTCTGTAATGCCTAGGGGTGGGAACAGCATGTGGCTCTGTAACTCTGAGCTCCAGCATGGTTGCCCCCATATACACACTGCTGTTCTCCTGACAGCCTTCTTCTTCTCCCCAGTAAAGACCAGACGCTCCTAACTGCAGGCATGTGCTCCCTTCCCATGGCAAGATACTACATGTAAGTAATTTTGCTGATTTCTCAATCAAAGGGTCTGGGGGTCACATGAGAAGGGAAAAGGTCAAGTCAAAAAAAAACCGTCAAGAATTTAATAATTACTCTTCATCTTTGTCAATAATGACAGCCTGTCTCCTGGCAGCAGACTAAGAAGAATGTCCATTTTACAGATATGAAAATTGAGGCTCCAAGAGGTTGTGTGATTTTCCTCATGCCGTATAACTACCCAAACGCAGGGAGTGGGGTTAGACACCATGTCCTCTGAACTGACGTATCTGGCTCTTAGAAAGTTAAAACAATCTTGAGTCCCAGTAGCGCATCTTTATGGTGACCTTAACTGATACCTGGATCTAAAAAAAAAAAAAAAAAAAAAAAAAAAAAAAAAATCACTATAGAGCCCTGACTAGCCTGGAACTTGCTATGCACATACATTTGGGTGGCCTCAAACTCACAGAGCTCTGCTCCCCTTTTCCTCCCAAGTGCTGGGATTAAAGTATTTACCACCATACTGCTTCCTTGACCATAACTTGGTGGTGTCGAAATAAAATGCTTCCAGCAGGTGAACTCTTAAGTCCCAGTTCCCCATAGCTGAGAAGAACACCATGTGGCAAGATTTTGACAGACCTTTGTTCTTAATGTATAAGTCAGCTTACTTTAAAAACAAGAGATGAGTTGTTTTTAAGCAGTCATTACTAGCTCTTGCAGAGTCAGGCTCCTGGAGGTGATGGCATTGGTCCAAAGGTTTTGGGAGCTCCCTGAGCTCTGAGAGAAATTGGCATCTCTGAAACCAGCTGGGCAACTAGGCTAATAGCAGGCATGGTTTTGATGCTTCATGTGCATGACAGTTTCTCCCCAGCTTCCCTGGTGCATACTTGCCCTCCCAGGCAGGTCATTAGCGTCAGTTCCTGATCTAGTTCCTATAGTTGGTTCACCCAGAGAGTACCTTGCCATGGCCAGAGTGAGTTCAGACTCTAGGGACACACTTGATTTTCAGATTTCTTTCTCTTTTTTTAAGGTTACAAAGCACATCACACTTATTACAGCCTCAATGTCTTCATTAATGCGTGGTTCCAGATCTGGGATAGGGCTCACTGTGTCCCCAGGATACCCGAGTCTTAAAGCAACTACTCAGACAGCCATGAGACCTCTTCATGAGAAAACGTTGGCTGCTGTGAGCCTATGACAATCCTGAGCCTAGTAAACCTGCTCTTGCTTTGGGATAGAACTTTTTCTGCCCTTTGGAGCAGTGTCCTTCTCGTCTCTGGAAATAAAGAAGTCACTAAAGGCTCAGTGTAGTGGTCCAGAGTACAGGGATTGAAAGACACAATGATCCCTGAAGGCAACAGGCCATTAACCTTGACCTCCTATTTCAGAATCAAAGATGCACATCAAAAGGTTTTGTACACAAGGAATGGCCAGCTCCTGGTGGGAGATCCTGATGCAGACAACTGCAGTGCAGGTGAGCCTCAGGGGGGCCCAGTCTCCATCTGTTACAGGCTCTTGATTCTTTTCTTCTCTCATGTCTTTAGACATGAGAATGTTGTCCCCATGATAACGAGAAGAGGTGAGGGGCAGCTTCAGCCTGTCTACATGAGTTGCACTCACCCTGCAGTCACCATGCAGAAACATGCCAGGTGTGCCCAGGCCTAGCTGCTCCTGGCTCAGCCATATCTTGCTAAAAAGTCTTCCATCTGGGGTCCTCTCACTCCTTGCATTGTGTTCTGTCTTACCTCCCAGAGAAGATCTGTATCCTTCCTAACCGAAGCCTGGACCGCTCCAAGGTACCCATCTTCCTGGGGATCCAGGGAGGAAGCTGCTGCCTGGCATGTGTTGAGACAAGAGAGGGTCCTTCCCTGAAGCTGGAGGTGAGAGACCCCCTCCTCATTCTGGAGAACAGAGTCAGTCTTGCCTGGGTTGTCAGGTTGCACTCAAGTGTCCCCTCTCTTGTCCCCCATCTCCCTTTGCCTCCTTGCCTTCTGGGATCTACAGAAGGCATCCCTGAGTGCCTCTTTCCTCTTGAGTCCTTTGGCCAAGCTTCTGAGGCATTAAGGACTGACATCCCAAATAGAACATTCATCTCATCTCACAGTAGCTCTCTTTGCCCCACAGGATGTGAGCATTGAAGACCTATATAAGGGCGGTGAACAAACAACCCGTTTCACCTTTTTCCAGAGAAGCCTGGGCTCTGCCTTCAGGCTTGAGGCTGCTGCTTGTCCTGGCTGGTTCCTCTGTGGCCCAGTTGAGCCCCAGCAGCCAGTGCAGCTTACCAAAGAGAGCGAACCCTCTACCCTTACTGAGTTCTACTTTGAACAGAGTCGGTAGGGAGGCATAAGATTGAAGTCCAACCTAGTGCCCCCAAACTGAGCCCATCTTGCTCAAAATGACAGTCCACCAAAGATGTCTAAGCCTTAATCCCTAGAATCTATGACAATGTTACATTAAATGGTAAAAGGGACTCTGCCTCCATGGTCCATTTGGGCCCAATGAAATCATATGAGGCTTCACAAGAAGGAAGAAGTTGGATACTGAAGTAAACTTTGCTACTAAATTCGAGGATGGAGATAGAGACTATAAGATGATGGATGCTAGTAATTTCTACAAAGGAAAAGGCAAGAGCTCTCCTGACACTGATTTTAGACTTTTCTGGCCTCCAGAATTGTAAAATAATACACTTCCATTGTTTTAAGCCACTGAGTTTGTAATAGTTTATTGAAGCAGGCTTAGTAAAACCCATATTTCACATGCAATTCAAGGGACATAGGTATCCTGGTGAATTTTTGGAAAGAGACTCACAGCTTTTCTTGGGTGTTGAGTCCAGGGGACATCACAACCGGAATATCAGGCTCTACTCTTCTGAGTTTGTAGTTGTACCCTTTGCCCAAGAGTCCCAGTAATTTGTCATTTCATAGAAAGTCTGTGTCCCTGCTCTAGCATGACACTATCCTGTCCCCTATATCTCTGCTCTAGCATGATACTATCTAACCTGAACTACCCTGGCTCTGTGAGGGGTGAGCTACTGACACTCTTTTGTCACACCAGTATCTAGAGCAGTGCTGGAGCACAAAAGGTACTGGGCACAAAGCCTTGACTGGGAAGGCAATCATGAGGCTCTGGTTAGATTCTCAGAATGTTATCCACTCGGACCCGCGGTGCAAGATGGACTGATGACAGGGCTGCATGAAGGGACATTTAACCCTGGACGTGAAGGAAAAAGCATTTTCCCATAGAAGAACATGGGGTCAAGCATGCTATGCAAAATCAACAATTCAGGAAGGTGTGATGGAGGAGAGCCCAAGGCATTTATGGGGTAGGGTGTGTCATCCATGTGGCTGGAATCCAAGGATTGTGGTTGAGGAGTTGCTGAAAATTAAAACAGGAAGATGGGTGGAGTCCAGTTGAAAATGACTAAGGCCTTATCTGGGAGAACCAGAGAAATTATCTGGATTTCCAAGCAGAGCCCCTGTGATCATCCCTGAATTGGCCTAGTTGCTACCAGAGCCTCCATTCAGCCCTGCCCCCTCACCTCACAGTCAGGTACCTACAGAAGTCAATTTCTGTGCTCTGATTCCCTGGGTAGCTGCCCCTGCCTCGTCTTCACATAATGGCATATCCCCTTCACTTATGAGCTAGAAGATAAACTTAAGCATGAGCTTAGGCATGTTAGAGTTTATCTGAGTGATTCATAAGTAAGGCAGCACCAATGACAGTTGTTTAGGGCTTTACCAAGGGGGGCTCATTGGAGAATGGGAGAATAGTTTTGAAGGCATTCAGGAAATAAGGGGAAGAAAATTTGATTGCTTAAAGTGGAAAGTCCCAGTTTAAAGGTTAGTCAGTAGTTTCTAATTCTTTGAGCTTCTAATTAGAGGTTAGTTGGCAGTTTCTGGTTAGTTAATCTGTTTCGTTTTCTTAGGCTATGACCATTCTCTGGGCTGCATGCCGATGTGATAAAGTAGGAACTCAAGACTTAGAACAGCCCCCCCCCCATTTAATTATTTTAACAATGGTCACTCCTTTTTGTTGGCCTCCTCTTGAGATCTATACCCATGGGCCACCCAGGCACAGCAGATAGCATTCTCTGCACAGACAAAAATATTTTCAGTAGCTGATATTTGCTAAGTTTACATTAGTACTAGGGAGCGAACACAAAGCCCCTGAAGGTGTGGCCTCTGCCCTCTGAGGACACATGGTGTAGTGGAAGGAGACCTGACATTATAGAAAGCATATCACCTTACCTGACATGTACAGGGCCAGGGAAAATCAACACTGGGGGTAGTGACACGAATTAAATGAAAAAGGCATTCATTTGCTCATGAGCCTGATGACCTGAATTTGATTCCTGGGCCCCACATGGAGGAAGGAGAGAGCCAGCTTCCAGAGTTGTCTTCCAACCTCAAATCAAAAATGGAAGAAGCTACTTCTGACAGCTGCAATTCAGGAACTCCAAGGATACTTTTCAGTCATAGCCCAAGACTCGTACTTAAATTCCTGCTTCTCCCTACCACACCAATGTCTCAACCAGGCCACAGAAGTTGTAATTATGCAAATGTGTGGGAGAGGCACACTGAAGATCTTATCCACTATTCTGTGTTTCAGGATGGTGGGTGTGGGGACAGGATGAGCGACTGGTACACAGTGTGAAGATCTCTTAGGCAGCACTCAGGAACTTGGTGCGTGGGCAAGGAAATGTGTGTGTTCATGTGTATATGGTGTGCGTTGTGTATGTGCACACACATGAGTGCCCTGGTATGCACACTGTGTATATCTGCCATAGAATTTAATGTGGGCAGCAGTTCATTTAGTAATTTTGTTCCAAGAGGTTCTAGAACAACTCTATCCTAGAGGGCAATTGTTCAAAGTCTCCTAAATCACTCAAACCAAGATTCAAATTTTACATTGCTATTTCTCTTTGGACCAGATTTCTATTTTGAGATACCAATTTGAGCATCACTGTAGACCCAATGAACAACTGCACAAAACACACATAAAACGTGTCAGTTCATGTGAAGGAAATCCAAGTTTAAAAAAAGAAAAAGTAAGTAAAGGAAAGTGAATAAAACTTTAAAGGACACGTTATCCTGAGTATCAGTCAGCAAAAATCAAAAAGTTGATGCATTGGTGTGTGGATTATTTGACCATATTTTGAGTTGTGTTTTATATTTACATAGCTAAATAGTATATTGTGATTCTATCTGAGCAAAGAGTCTACCTCCTAGAGAAATTCCAGTATCATCTCTACCTACCAAGCAAGGTGGGATCCTTGGAGCCTATGGGAAAATTGCAATGTACCATTTGGACTGCAGATGGCGACAAAGTTCGGCTTTGCTTTGTGAGGCTGTGAGCCCCGGTGAGCAATTTCACCAAATTTAATTTGAATGCTTCATAATGCCTATCTGGCCGTATCTGCGCCCCATCACAGCCTCGCTAGCTCATGGACTCCAGACTACAGCTTGAAAACCAGCATAGGACGGAACCAGACCCCCTGCACTTGGGAGACAATTAGGAGGCCTGAACAGTCTACGGAGCTACTGTTAATGGAACAGCATTTATACCTAGGGAACGAATGGACTTTGGGAGCCCATTCCACATAGAGGGATACTTTCTCAGCCTAGACACACAGGGGAGGGCCTAGGCCCTGCCCCAAATGATGTGACAGACATTGATGATCCCCCATAGAAGGCCTCACCCTTTCTATGGAGCAGAAGAAGGATGGGATAGAAGGATGGGATGGAAGCCAGTGGGGGGCATGGGAGAATGGGAGGGCGAGGGAACTGGGATTGATATATAAAATAAAATTGTTTCTAATTTAAATTTAAGAAATAAAAATAAAGAAGCTTTGCCTCACTGTTTCTGCCATTAAAGGTTTGAAAATGGAAGTGGCCTGGACCAGCTCTCAGACTCAGAAGCTCCTGGCCACAGCACCCTAATCTTGTATGTGTCATTTAATAGCACCCGGTTTTCCCACACCCAGAATTCAAATGGCTTTTTGAATACATTCAATTTTGTTCCATATAGTCCATTCTGGAGAGTTCAGGTTTTTGCTGTCAACTGGTTTCTCTGACACATTCATCTAGATGTCTCTCTATATCCTGCTCTTTTAGTCCAACCCCACCCATAAAGTAGTAGCTCAGAAATCTTTTGAGGACACTTGAATGATGAGAATCAGTCTTCTATAATTTTGTTCATGATAATGAGGAACACAGACTCCTCCCGAGAGCAACTGTTTAACACTCTCCAGTCTTTATCTATTGACTGGAGAGGAGGATTTGGATTACATGTAGTAGAAGTTGCATCATAAGGACCTAGTTTAAAACTATCATATCCTGGAAGACACAAATGTTGCAAGATTAATGGTACAAGGCCTAAGTAAGAGTAACATAGTTATGCCCATCTTTGTCCCCTGAAAGGACAAGGTCCAGAGAAGCCGCGGCCATGCTTGCTCCAGAAGAGCCATCTTTGGTTAGGTTATTCCTGGGAGCATAGTCCCTTTGATTATTGATAAAATTGAGAATGTGGAAGAATCCAAAACTACAGTTTTTAAAAGGAATCTAGTGGTAGAATAGATCAAAAGGAAGCTAGTGTGGGATTGTAGCAGAGCACAATGGCATCAAAAGATAAATATATAAATAAAGCAAAAACACAAAGTTTACAGTTACTTGCTTATTAAAAAAAAAGGTCATGTCTTTGCTTTTAAGAAGCTAAGATATCCTTTTTTGTTTGAGGAGAAACTTGAAGTCTTTTAGCCTTTTAACTGGATATGCAAAGTGACCTTGTCTTTAAGGTGTTCCTGAGGCTGTGGAGACACAAAATCATAAAGAATTCAGAGACTAATTATTGACTAAATCTGAGTAGAGTGGGTCTTTATCTACCCTGAGGAGGTGTTAGTAAACATCAGAAGACATTTATATTCTTGACAAGAGTCATCTATAATTTACAATTATCTTGGATATTCACGTGCTACAATTTGGTGAAGTAAGCTATAGGTTAAGAGTTTTGACACTCCCAGTGAGGTGAGTCCTCCCTCCCACTGCCATGCTTTCTTATGGTGCCATGTGTGGGGCAGTTCCTAGTCACTGAGAACAAAGCCCTGGTATTGGTAAAGAAATCATATTTGGGGTGGAGGAGATTTTATTAGGGAACCATGGGTGTCATTGATCTTTGAAGGAAGTCCAGCCTCCTTTCAAACAATAGGACATCTTCCTTTGCAGAAAGTGAGATGTTTCCCAGTTCCCTACTGAAGGCAGCTCCTTCCCAGCACCCTGCTTCCCCATAGCTGTGGCAAGTATTGTCCCTGTATAGTTTTTCTCCAGCCTAGGGCTTGCTTAAGGTAGTAAGTGCTTATCTGTCTATGGAAATATTTTATTACCTAGAGTAAAGCTATCAATTGAGCTGGTAACTTGCTTCCTCCGAGTCTTAACTGTCTTTATTTCTGTTGTTGGAAATCCAAATGTCAATTTTATTTATTTACCTATCTATCTATTTATTTATTTATTTCTGCTCTATTTTCTTTTTAATTTGTGTGTATGTCCCTATACATCTGTATATACATCTGTCTC